TGAACGAAGCATTGTCCTCAATGCTTAAACTAGGGAAGAAAATGAAACCAAACTAAAATATTTTTGTGTTTTTTGTTTCTTTTTCAATTTTTTTTAGCTCTTATTTGATGTCCTTGCCTTTTTTTTTTTTACTATGGACGGCTTTTTCTTGAAACTTCATTTGATTTTCTTGAATTGCATCTTTCTTCTCAAACTCTTTTATTTTATTTTATTTTTTTTTGCAATTTCTTTTCAAGCTCAACTTTCAATACCGTACTTAAACCAATTCACAAAATGTCTTGTTAAATCTCAAAACTCTCAAAACTCAAACCTCACATTCCAATGCTTCACTAACTAAAAGGGTTGGTAAACATAGGCCATTGGGTTTGTAATGCGGTTTAAACAAGAGCGGGAAACATTAGGCTCAAATTGGTTAATAAGTAGGTCGATGCAAAATAGAAAACCAAATTTGTAGCAAAACAAAAAGAAGATAAAGAAAAATGTGAAAAGGTGCCCTTTTCCTCCCCTAGAGTGGCTCGGTCACGATCTTGGGAGCTAGAGGTGAAAACAAGGATTAAGACATGCATAGTCAAGGATCCTAAATAGCCGCTCAACAAGGTGATGAAGGCTAGAATAAATGAATTTCACAAGGGATTATAACCAAACAAATAACAACCAAGGGTTTCAAATCCACTATAGAGAGCAACTCCATCTTACCACATTCCCGTGAACTAAGGCTTCATGGACCCCTAAAAGTTCTTAACCGACTACCTTAGCATATAGTATCCTAGAGTCAACCAATGACACTCTCAAACCGTGCATACATTTACCACTTAGGAAGAAAAACATTCAAGGATTCAAGTCCCAAAACAAAATGTCCAAAATAAGAACAAACAAAACACATTTTGCCAAAATTACCTTGAAAGTAAACAAAAATATTTTGGATTTTTCAAAATAAAAGAAAAGACATGGAAATCCATATACTCAAGTGCATGGCGTAAATGAATCAACATCCCACCAAACCTGATAGAATACCCTCCTCTCCAAGCTTGAGTGGGACAATATACTCAAATATAAATAAAATAATCCATGGGAGAGGAAAAGAAAGAAATCAATCCAACAAACCAACACAAGTCCAACGAGTCACCAACCATTAGAGAAAGAGCTAGGAAAGATATTACCGGATATTGGTGGGTCTAATTACCCGCAAATGAACCAATTTAACCTTTCAAAGCCGATTTCCTCTTAAATTGAATCTCGATTTCCATATGCTAGCAAAAATAGGCGTCAAACTTCCTTGATTCTTGATCCAAACCAATACATAAGTGTATATCAAGTTATGTACCTAGAAAAAGGCACACAAACATTTCCATGAGAGAAAATCTAATCTAAAAAGAAAAGAAAATGAAAGCAATAAACCTCGGGTTACTTCCCGAGAAAGGCTTGTTTAACGTCCAAGCGAGACCGCTCTAGTAAATAATATTGCAACGAACGCAAGAGCTTATCAAATGCACTACTACACATTTCATATGATAACAAGTAGGCAGATGAAGGGAGGAGGACGTGCAACAAGATTATTGCACGTAAGTGAGGAGGAAGATACCAAAAGAAAGAAGAAAAATCAAAAGAAAAATCAAGAAAATAAGAAGAGAAAGAAGAAGAGAAATAAGGAAAAGAATAAAAAGGAAAAACCTCCTCAAAATATTTTTGGGTGGCACAATAACCCATTTCCTCAATAATAGGAGGATGAAAAGGAAAAGTCTCATCAAACAAGAGAAGGTCCTCAATAGGCTCTTTGGCAAAAGAAGGGAGGAACATGGGATAGTAGGAGATGTGGTCAAATTTCCTTGAGAAAGGGACATGAGGAAGGGGAGGAGAAAAAATGGTCTCACAAAGCCTCACATCACCAATGACGGCATGAAAATCAATCATAGAATCCTCAAAAGAACACTCATGACTCAAATCTCCCTCAAACAAAAACTTTCCAATAGAAATAACCTCATCTTCCTCTCTATCACAACGATGAACAACAACTCCCTCACGATCCTCAAAGCCTAGAGTCTCTAAACCATGCATGAAAGGATAAAGGTTTCTCTCAAACTCATCCCTTTCCCATGAAGCATTGCCAATGAACTCTCTCAAAAGGCTATAATGATTTGTTACACCTTCAATGAACATACTAGCCATAACCTCAAATAATTCCAAAGACTCATGGATAGAAGGGTCACCAACATGCAAGGTGGACTCATCAAGATGGGGAAGGGGGTTGGAATCCTCAAAATTGACATTTTCTTCATTTACAACTCTTCCACCATCACTCAAGGGACTCTTAATCTCTCTTGATTTCTCAAACTCACTATTATCATCCTCATGAACTCCCTCATTCAAACATGAAGATGGCTCACTCACATCTTCACCAAGGGAAGCTCTCAAAGGGGGTGAATAAGGGGAAGGATGGCATTCAAGCTCAAATGGGGAAGGAAAAGGATCAAAATCCTCTCATCACAAGAAAATCTCCCTTCACCTTCACACACTTGCCCTACATCATCATCAACAACACTCTCACACTCCAAGTGAGGTGCCTCACGTCCATCTAAATCAAACATATCACTCATCACTTGGGCAAGCCTCACTTCTCTCAATTTTTGTTCCTCTTGAAGCTCTTGGAGTTGTTGGGTGAGATATTGCATTTGAGAGAGAATTTGGGCATCAATGTTATTGGGTTGAGGTTCATGGTCAAAGTCAAATTGCACATCATCAAAATTAGCACAAACCTCATCAAAATGAGAATAAGGGGGAAAGGTATTAATTTGCATACTTGGATTATCACAAGGCACATAAGAAGTATCAAGAGAATTCACGCAAAAATTAAAAGAATCTTGGCATTGAAAATCAAAATAAGAAACATGAGATTCTCTATCTAAAGAATCCTTAGCAAGCCATGTGAAGAAATCCCACGCATCATGCATAGACAAATGACAAAATCTACCATTATTCATGTCCTCAACCATTCCCCTAGTATACTCATTCATGCCCCAATAAGCTATACCACAAGCATCACTAAGAGAGCACCCATGGTAACTAAGAAAACCATCTAGTCTTTCAAAGTAAGCATAGAAGGGTTCACCATCAAATTGAGTAAAAGATAAGCATGACATTTTTAAACAAAGAACAAAGAAAAGCAAACAAAATCAAATAATATACAAGAACCTAGCTAATCTAATCAACACAAACTAATGAACGCCTTAGTCCTCGGCAACGGCGCCAAAATTTGATTGCAGGTAAAAGTAGGTCGTTGGGACTACTAACCCTAACCAAATTAGAAATTTATAATACCTAAACTTACACTAAACTAGTTAGTGGCAAGTAAAGGGTTGAACCATAGAGGACTGAGTGGATTAATTTGTTCCAACTAGACTACTAGGAAAGTTCGTGAGATAGAGAGAGGTTAAACTAAACACGACTAAGAACAAACAACTAAAACTAGGGAAATTGGAATCCAATTACATCAATGCATTCAACAATATCATACAATTAGATAAAAATGCCCTCGATTAGGAACATCAACACATTTAACTCACTCTCGCACAATTAAGCATGTTAATTATCCTACTAAACTAATTCACTCTCGTGCAACTAGCATAGCAAAGGTATGGAAGAATTTAGGGCTCTCAACCAACTCACTCTCGCACAATTGATTGAAAGCACAATTAAAAGCATAGAATCGATTATCTAGAAAGATTCTAATCCATAAAAGTATCATCCATACACAATAATCAAGAAACAATTTCATACTAATCACAATCAATCATTCAATTCATTAATATAACCTTCATCCAATTCCCTAGAACAAGACCTAAGCTAACATAATTAAGAAAGACATGGGAAACAAGGTAAAATAAGAATAAAAACAAGATTAAACAAATAAACTAATTAATCTACTCAAATCAACAAACAAAAAGCATAAAACTAAGAATTAAGCAAAGAAATAAAGATGCTTCTTCAAATCAACAAACAAAAGTTCCACAAAGTTGCTTCTTCAACCTCTCAAAAACTCCATGGAAATCTAAGCTTTCTCTCTCTACACTACTCCTAAACTAACCCTAAGGGAGATAAAATAAAATTAGGCTAAACTAATCTAATTTATCTAAAATAAAATGTTCCTTCCAAGTTTTTTTAGAAAATAACCCTAAAGAGGGTATTTATAATACAAGTTAAAATAATATAAAAGAAATTAAAAAGAAATAAAACTAAACTAAAACCATTAAAATAACTAAACTAAAAACAAAAAAAAAAAAACAAAACTTAAAATAAAATAAAAGAAAAGAAAATGAAAACGAAAAGAAAAACCCCAAAACCCCACTAAACTCGTCCAAACCCACGAAATCCCACCAGACCCCTTTCTCCTTCCCTTTCGAATATGGCTGCTCACATTCTCCATCATCAACAGCAAACAATCATCACCGTTCATCAAAAATCATCATCAAGAATCATCACATCGCAGCCGTTCGATTTTCATTAAAAGTCACGAGCGAAGCTCATGAAATTGTTCGGTCGAACCATGGGTTTGTGCGGCCGAACTACGGGGTTGGTTCGGTCGAACCATGGGTGTGTTCGACCACACCTTTTCTAATTACAAAACCTCAAAAGTTTCTGACTCGAACTTCGACCGAACTCCTTTGGTTTGCTCGAACTTGATTAATTGCTATTTGCTCTGATTTTGGGCGCTTGATCGAAGTGAATTATTGCGATTTGTTGGCTACTACTGTTGCAGTGGTTTTGGCGGCTGACGGATTGCGAGTTGGCTGGGATTGGTGGCGAAATGGGAGGCGCATCAGGTGAGGTTGTTGGCGGTTTGTGAGCTGCGGGTTGCTGGGTGTTGGTGTATTGGAGGTGAGGTGCTGGTGGTTGTAGTTGTGGCTGGTCAGAGGTGCGGTTTATGGGAGCAGGGCAGTAGGTTGAGTTGTGGTGTAGGAGTGGTGGAGCAGGTTGTTGTTGTTGATGTGCGGTGAAGGGGGCTGATGTGTGGGTGTGAGAAGGTTGTTGCTGGTGGTTGTTTGGTGATGTTGGTTGCGGTTTATGGGAGCAGGGGATTGGTTGGTGATGGTGGTTCAGGTGTGGCTGGGTGTGGATTGGTGGTGGGTTTGGGTGGCTGCTGTGGTAGTTGGGTTGTTGTTGTTGGGGGAAAGCAGTGGTGGAGCTTGGTTCAATTTTGTGCCTCGAACCTCGGACCTTGAACCCGATCGACCACGGACCCGAAAACACCTACAACCAAAAACAACACGAGGGGATTTTTAAAAGATAAAATAAAATAAAATAAAATAAAATAATAAAATAAAATAAGATAAGATAAATAAAGTAAAATAAAAAGCTAAAACTAAATAAATAATAAAATAAAATAAAATAAAATAAAATAAAATAAACTAGAAACTAAAAGAAAATAAAATAAATAAAATGAGAGAAGAGGGAAATTATTAACTAAAACTACAAAAATAAACTAAAAACTAATAAAAACTACTAAAATACTCAAAATAAAGATAAAAGACGAGAATAAGCAACTAAAAGAAATAAAGAACATAATGGGCTAAATTATTGTAAAAAAAGCCGGAATGCAACTCAATAAACACCCTAAAAGTGACATAAAAGTCACTTATCAGCGAACCATCTCTTTTTCCTTGGGGGGATCCACCAAGAGCGCAGCTGTTTCCCCCTACCTACTTAAGTAAGTGGTGAAGCCTTCATTCTCTTTCTGTTTGAGAATGGAGAGTTCACGTTCAGAAGTCTTGGCCTTAATGTTATACTTGTAACAATTCATAAAGCTTTCAGCAACATCCTCCCAGGTCGCAACATGTTTGGATTCCAAAGAGTAGAACCACTGTTGACAAGCATGCTCCAAGGAAAGAAGGAACACTGTAGGGAAGAGTGTCACTTCTACTCCCTTAAGAGCCATGGTGGCAGAAAAAAGCCTTCAAATGGAAAAGCGGATTATTAGTAGGCTTGAACTTGGGAATGTCACCAGTGGAAAACTTCTCAGGGAGCTTGTCCCTTATGGACAAAGAGGCGACAGGTTGTTCCACATAAGTGAATTCTTTAGAAATCTTACTCATCTGTTCCTTAATCTTGTCCATTGCAGCGGCAGCGACATTGATTTGATTGTCTTGCTCTACCGTGTTGACTCTAGTGGTGAGTGTTTGCATCATGTTAGACAACATTTCAATTGTCCTGTTGATGTTCTCGATATCTTCCTTAGTAGTCCTTGGTTGAAAAAAGACTGGAGATGGATCTTCTGGAGATGATTGTGGTGGTTTCCTTGTACGCCTCTTTAGTATAAGAGGTTGTTAAGGTATTGACTCGAACCGTAACAATCTCCCCCTGCTCCTTGACCAAGTTCTGTGACACCGAAACAAACACACCTTTAATGACCAAACTTAACCTTAACCCATCCAGAAAAAATAAAAAAAAAATTGAATTTTGAAATTCTATTTATTTTTTGTTTTTTTTTTTAAAAAATGGGAGGATACTTTCCGACTTACTCCAAAAAAAAACGACGCAAAAGACTACCCTAAAATACGGTCATGAAATGGTGCACGACTAACGGAATAAAGTGTGTGAACACGACATGTGAGTGATTAAGTGAGGTTATGGACGCGTGTTATGACCGTACAGCTAGACATGACACCAAACTGGACACATAAACCACATATGTACGCATAAAAAACTGACAGGACAGTTCCCCTAGGCACCGTGTCACGGTACTGACTGTTGTGACACAGTGCAGTCTACCGTCAGACGGTAGAAAACTCCATGTCACGGCATTGTTCACTGTGGCGCGACAGGACTTGCCGTGACACGGTGCTCAGTTCCAGGTCTTTTTTGTGAGTTTTTCCAGATTTTAGTCAATTTTAGGTCCGTACTAATTACTATGTGGAATTAAAAACCCTCGGTCATAGGTGAAACAAAAAAGAGTAAACACATGATGGTTAGAAACAAACAAACCATGTAGCATTTAGTCACGATGATGTAAAAAAAGTTCGCAACCTGGGGTCAAGATCTATGTTCAACTATTGGTCAATTTTTGGGTGTCAAAAGGGTATCATGGTTAAGAGTTTGGACGCGTTAGCAAGGTAGCCTCCCTTGAGGGTGTATGCCAACGGGCGGCTCCGCGAGTTCGTGATGAAATCGAAATCGACTCCATGGTTTAGGTGGATTTAATAACTCGGATGAACCCTTATTGCCATGAGCGTTTTTGGGTTGATAGAGCTTAAATCCCCCGGGGCTAAGACGCATGTAGAACACACACGTTTTTTCAGAAAAATCGAAGGAAGTTGACTGTGAGAAGATAAAACAAGCCACCGGACTGATTTTAGGACTGCCGTGACACAGCAGGGATTCCCGTTCCACGGTACTGCACACCGTCAGACAGTGCACTGTACCACGACACGGCAGTCAGAAAATCTGACTGGTGCCCTGTTTTCCTTCGTACGCAATCAAGTTATTCGATTTCTCCTACGGGAAAGATCTAAATGCGACGTTAAAACGTCTATGCATATGCAAAAATTCCAAATTAATCACCGGAATATTTTTCAAGAATCTTTCAAGTCTCATCCACTCATCTTAATTAAATACCGATCACTCAAATCGATAAATAACCAATAATCCTCCCAAGTAGAGTCGCCAAATTGTAGGCGTCGTTCGAAGTGCGCCTACGTTAAAAGCATGTGGTGAATATGCTTGGCACTCTTAGAAAGTGGGAATTGACATATACGATTAAGGACAAGGAAAGTAGGGAGCCGCCAACAAGTTTTTAAGGAACTTGTAAACCGTTCACAGATCATAAAAGGCAAACACGATTAAGGGACAACGATAGGCAACAACGATTGACCCGTGAAGGTTACACCCCATTCATAATCCATGAGATTACTAACTCCATATGGTTCGGAACCACGAAAGGAGGATTGGGGATGATGGTACGAAGTGAGTCATGGAGTCACATTTGCCCGTATTGGCCTCTACTCGATTCTTATAGTGAAAAGCATTCCTGCGATCTCAAAGGCATACAAACAAAATATTCAATTTGCTCCAAACTATTATTATGCTAAATTGGTTGAATATTAATGCAACATATAATTCTAAAATATTAGTGATCACTTAATTTAACAACAAGATTAAAAAGGAACCTAAACCGGTCGTCCAAATTATCTTATTAGGCGTAATTTTCAATTACATATTCCCTTTAAACATGTAATATGGTGATCATAAATAATAGAATAGAATAAACATTAATATTGGAAGCAATTTAACAATAATTCTAACGATATACAATCGTTAGAAAAATAATAGAAATAAAAGGAAAATAATTCTTACTTTGATTCTGTTTGCTTGCAACTACAAAATAATAAATGAGTTAGTAACTTCAAGGAAATAATAATAAAACAATAATTAAATTAAATTAAGTAAAGTAGAACTGATTTTGGGCCAAACCCTCAAACGGTTCTACCTTTCACGCCTTGGCTTAAGGACAGAACCACGAGTAAAGTATGGACTCCTGGGAGTGCTTGAAGAAGGAAATTTGAAAGAATAAAGGTAGGCTAGTGTTTAGGCTAGAGCATAGACGAGAGAGAAAATATAGAATAATTGATGCCCCGTACATTAGAAATGAGGGGGTATTTATAGGAAAAATGTGCTGAGGGAACACACGGAACCCTAAAATGATAAAAACCCTAAAAAAGTATCCCGCAACACGGCACTGTGTACCGTGACACGGATATTCCCACTGTCAGACGGGAAAAATTCTCGTGACGCGGTGAACATTTGTGTGACGCGGGAAATATTTTAGGGTACGGGGAATAAAACGCGTGAAGGGTTTACGCGGAACAGACACGGAAACTCCCGTGTCACAGCAGGTTTCCCGTGTCACGGGAAATCCCACCGTCTGACAGGACTGTTTCCCGTGACACGGTGGACTATTGCCGTGACGCGGGAATTTTTTGTCCATTTTTCCGTTTAAATTCATTTTTAACCCTAAATTCGTTCAGCAGTTTAAGTGCCGATTGATAATTTCGGGCCATTTCTATTTTTATTATTATTTGGGCTAAAATAAGAAAATAAATAAAAGGTTTGGGCCAGAATAAATAATATAATAAAAAAAGGTTTGGGCTGAAATTAAAAAAAATCTATGCTTTGACCAAACATCAAGACTGATCCATGGACTATTCAGAAAAATGAATTCAATTAAACACAATTTAGTAAGCACTCTCGGGATTAAATACTAAACCCGACCAATAATGGCGGTGAAAGGTTGTTCATCATCGGGTTTGGTTTTGGGGAAACATTTTTAGGTGTCTACAGTATTACTTCTACAATTGCGAAGATAACAAAGTGTTTGTTGCTCGCGATGGTGTCTTTCTAGAAAAGGAATTCCTCTCTAGAAAGTCAAGTGGGAGTAAAGTGGTTCTCGAAGAAATTCGAGACGAGCAACAAATGGATGTGGATAACACCACATCAGAGGCGAGGGTGCATGAGTAAATTAAACATGCGTCGGAGCAAGCTAATTCGACTAGCGAGACTCCTATCGTCCTACTTGAATCTAATTCATGCGAAAATCTTCAAGGAGTTGGAGAGAATATTTCTATTGTTGCTCCTACTCCACGTAGGTCTGCCAGAATCAGAAACAAACAGTTTGTTGAGGTTCTGATAACTGAGAATTCTGAAATCTTCTTATTTGAGAATGAGGAACCTACAACCTACATGCAAGCTTTGGCGAGCCCGAACTCAGATAAATGGCTTGAGGCCATGAAGTCCGAAATGGAATCGATGTCTGAAAAAGAAGTTTGGACCCTAGTTGACTTGCCTAATAGGGTAAAACCTATTGGTTGCAAATGGGTTTACAAAATTAAAACAGACAAGGATGGAAATGCTTACATCTATAAATCAAGACTTGTTGCAAAAGGGTACAGACAGATTCATGGTATTGACTATGATGAAACCTTTTCCCCAGTAGCTATGCTTAAGTCCATTCGGATCCTTCTAGCGATTGCTGCATTTTTCGATTATGAAATTTTGCAGATGGATGTGAAAACCGCCTTCTTGAATGGGTTCTTGATAGAGGAAGTGTATATGATACAACCTGAGGTTTTTGAAGATCCAGAAAGTCCTAGAAAGGTATGCAAACTTTAGAAATCCATTTATGGATTGAAGCAAGCATCCAAGAGTTGGAATCTTCGCTTTGATAAAGCAATCAAACAATTTGATTTTATCAAAAGTGAAGAGGAACCTTGTGTATACAAGAAGTCTAGTGGGAGCAGCATTGCTTTCTTAGTATTGTATGTAGATGACATACTACTCATGGGGAATGACATACCAATGCTTGAGTCAGTCAAGGAATGGTTGAAGAGTTGTTTTTCCATGAAGGACTTAGGTGAGGCTGAATACATATTAGGGATCAAGATCCATCGAGACAGATCTCGAAGGATGATTGGATTAAGTCAAGAGACTTATATTGATAAGGTTCTTGATAGGTATTCCATGAAAGACTCTATGAGAGGATTTCTCCCCATGTCTCATGGCATTATGCTTAGTAAATCTCAATGCCCTAGCACGCCAAAAGAGATGAGACGTACTGTTGATAAACCTTATGTTTCGGCAATAGGGTCAATCATGTATGCCATGATATGTACAACGCCGGATGTTGCATATGCTCTGAGTATGTGTAGCAGGTTTCAGGAAAATCCAGGAGAAGCACACTAGACAGCTACCAAGAACATCCTTAAGTACTTGAGAAGGACTAAAGAAATGTTTCTAGTATATGGTGGCGAAGATGAGTTGGTTGTCAAAGGTTATACAGATTGTAGACATCTACTTTTGGCCTCCTGTCCCGACAGGAAGTGCATTGACGATAAATAAAGCCATCTTTGTGTTAGATCAAAGTGAAGAATACTTATGGATAACTGGTTAAGCCACAAAACACAAAAGACTAGCCTAAATAAAAGAACAAGGCCAATACAAGGTCCAAAAAACTAAACCCGATCATATTAGGGATTAAGCCCGTGCTTAAAACCCAATAACGACGGATTTAGAAGCGTCTAGGATAAAATTTAAGCTGCCGCGGAAAATGTCGCGCACATCTCACAAAGTCGCGCTCAACTGTCGCACGCAATTCAATTGCGCGCAGTACTCCACGCAACTTCTGGAGATACGCTCGCGAAAGATTCAGAATATCAAAATATTGGAAAATCGAATCTTACCATAGAGCCGCGCGCAAGACAAATAACTGCGCGCATCATCTGCACGTGACTTATTTACTTGCGTGACAGCCACGCGCAACTTATCCAGTTGCGCGCGACACCTGCTGCGGCAGAATGCTCTTAACCCTAAACTTAATCATTCCCTATGAATAAGACCCTAATCCGATGCTTAAACACACAGAAAATAACCTAAAACGCTGGCAGAATACTTGTGAACTTGTGCTTCCTAACCCTCTTGTCCTAAACACTCACCCCTTTGGTACCTTGTTACTACAGTGGAGGTTCCCCAACAAGAAGGAATCCATAAGTGTTCTAAACGGAGATCTAGCAAAGAGAAGTGGTAAGTTCCCGAGCACTTAGTTAAATCACATTTATTATCTTGTTTAAAAGAACCTTAATCAATTAATTAGTGTTGTTTGGTCACCTTTAAAATAATTAATTAATCAATTCCATATAGTATCTTTTGTTAAATAAAGATTAGAACTGAATAAAATAATTGTTGGTTGATCACTTAAGGCAAGGCAAATATTGTTTATTTTTTTGTTCTTTTCACGAATTTAATTAAATAAGAATAACGACCTTAAGATGCGATTCCCCTCTAAAGGGAACGTTATCTTAGTACCCTCGCTCCGAAACTCATTTCTGGTTTATGTAGACCAATTTGGGCATGGGTAAACTTATGATTCATGCTATATATCCCTTGAACTCTACTTGGGAGAAAGGCATGAACGAGGTTTATAGGTTTTGTAGGGAATAAATTTCAAGCGTTAACCCCTAGCTTGAACCCCGCTGTGATCATACACTAAAGTACGGTGGCGTCCAAAAGGGAAGAAGATAGAGCAAAAGAGTCGCCAACAAGTTTTAGGAACTTGTAAACCGTTCACAGGGTGAAGGTTACACCCCTTAACGATCCAAGAGATCGTCAACTCCATAAGGTCTAGAACCAAATAAGGGTTCGGGGATGAAGGTACAAATCCAACCTAAAAGAGATTGAACCTGCCCTAATAATAGGCCTCTACTTTATTCAGATTGTATTCATGTGCGCTTTCTAATTAACATGCAATCAATAGATTAACCCTAAACCTGTTTAATCTATGTTGGTTGAATATTAATGCACAAATAAACTATTATTGGCGATCACTTGAATTATAATCACAATTAACCCTAAACAAGATTATTAAATATCTTATTAAGCGTGATTACAAGTACCAAATTCCCTTTAAACATGCATAAAAGGGGTGATCAAGCAATAACAATAAATATCAAGCAACATGATAAATAACCATAATCAATCATTATAATAGTCATAATAATAATCGTAAATAAAATAATCATCATCAAAATAATAATAATAATAATAATATTCATAATCTTCATAAATTATAACAATTATAATCATATTCATGTTAATATTAAAGCATAATAATAGCAAGATCCTAGCTAGGTATGATACTAACAAGATTAATAACAAACCCTAGCAAGTCACTAAACAATAAAAATCAAACCTTTAACCCTAACATGATACTAACAATCATAAATATTAGGAAGAAAATAGGAAGCATCGTAACAATCATAATAAGCATATTTGATATTAAAATTACCCTAGACATGATACTAGAAATATAATAATAACAATATAAACATGATTTCTACATCATAACATCAATTAAAAATCATTAAAGCACTTACTTTGATACCTCGTACCTCTTTCTAATAACAAAATACACACGTTAGTAACTTCAAGGAAAATAATAAACAAAACAATTAAATTAAATAATTGAAATACAGATTTGGGACCAAACCCTCAGAATTAAACCTTTCACGTCTAGGGCGAAGGCAACTTCGAATATGGCAAGGTGTTTCTAAGTCTTGTGAATGCGGAATTTTGTATTTGAGAAAAGGCTAGTTTAGAAAAAGAGAGAGGGAGAATAATCAAGAAAATCTTGATGAGAGTTAGTGAATGAAAATGGAGTTTTTAATACGTTATTTATAGAGAAAATCAGCCAAAAAGATAAAATATCAGAACAGAGCACTTGGCGCACGCAAAATAGAGTTGGCGCACCTAAAACAGAGTTGGCGCCAGAACCAGCTTATTGGCGCCAGGCGCCAATAGCTAGCACCAGGCGCTAGGCCTGGTTCTAGGCGCTGATTTCAGAAATTCACGCGTTATTGTTTTTATCATATCTTTTGATCCGGAAGTCCAAATAAGGCAAATAATATGTCGTTGGAAATCTCTTGAAGTATACTTTCCAACCCAATTTAAAAAAGATTAAAATATTATGTAGATAAAAAGATATGGCCAAAATAGTGGAAGGGTGTCAGTTTTGGATAAAGTTTCATGTCTCATTCATATCTTTTTCGTTATAACTCGGATTTAATATTATAATATATCATTGGAAAGACAATTTCAAGATCTATCCAAACATATAAATTTGGATAAATATTATGAGGCACAAAAATAAAATCTGAATATATTCCACTTCGTACAAAACAAGGATTCTTAAAAGGAGTAGTTTTATTCAATTTCAAACTCTTTAAAACATAATTATCAATCCTAAATCCATTAGGATTTAAAAGAACCTCCTAGAGTATTCTAAAAGACTATAATCAATCCTAATAGATTTAGGAATGATAATTAATAATAGGCCCTCCTCTAGATCATTGGGTCGCATATAAAAACCAAATCGGGCCCAGTTTAGTATTTTGGCCATAACTTCCTCGATATTCATCGGAATTGGGCTTATAATATATCGTTGGAAAGGTCTTTTCAAACCCCATCCAACTACACCATTATTGGATCCTTATCATGAATTAACCAAACCGGATTGACTATTTTCGTAAAATAAGTTTTCAAAAACAGAGAGAAGAGAAAAGAATTAAAACTATCCGCAACACTAAACTTTCCACACTTTCACTTCATTCGATTATGATTCGACGTGAAAGGTACTCATCACTGGGTTTGGTTTTGGGGAGACACAAATGGGTGTCTACAGAAGCCCCCACTTTGACTGAGTTTGGAGAAACGAGAGTTTCGAAAACAAAAGTCAAAGTAGCGATAGGGACGGAGAATGATTCAGAATGTTCTGCGATCCTAAATCACTCTTGTAACGCCGATACCTGCAAACTAACGTTAACTAAACAGATAAAAGAGTTAAGAAACGCGTATCTTGCACCGTCGAGCACATGTTTCTGAAAGTAACCGATTTGATGTTTTGATGACCTCCTGCAAGCTAGAGAATGTCATCCCGCTTGAAAACCGCTACGCCCGCAACTGCTTTCAAATTAGAAGATTTTTTCGCCTGAAACGATCCTCCTCCAGTATGATAATATTCCACGTCCAAGGGAATACTATCGAAGATAGCTTCTCTTGAAACAATCCTCAGCTGTTTGTGAAAATTCTCCACAATCTAGGGAACGCCACCTTGCTGTTTCGATGTTCACTCATCTCTGAACAAAGAGCTTCTTTTTGATATGACTCCAATTTCCGCTGTGATAGTCTTCGAAAAGATCACTGCTTTTATCCTTAATGTTGTTATGCCAGTACGTCGGCGCTTTGCTGCTTGTGAACCAGTATGTCGGTGCTTTTGCTGTGATGACAATCCTCTTTCCTTTGGGAATAGTTGCCAACACAACTCCTGTATGATGTATGACAATCCGATTTAGGGAAAGTTGTCAAAGCCACGTAACAATCCATCCTTGGAAATGTTGCCACGATGAAGCGATAATCCGTATCTCGGAAAATTTGCCAAAATCCAATTTTGGGAAAAAGTTGCCAATGCTTCGTAACAATTTGTTATAAGAACTTTGCTACAATCGACAATCCGCATCTTGGAATGTAACTCTTAAAAGAAAATCCACTCTGGAAATTTTGCCAATGCTATGCAACAATCCTTTTGGGAAAATATTGCCACTATTGACAATCCGCGTCTTGGAACATTTGCAAAAAAGAGTCGACCGACAATCCACTTCGGGAAAATTTGCCACTTGCTGAGATGAATGACAATCCACGTTGAGGAACCTTTGCCAAAATTTATGATGAATAGAGACCTACAACAATCCTTTGGGAAATTTTGCCATAGGGAACTGGGTGTATGACAATCCAATCTCGGAAAACTTGCCAGCTAACTATGAATGTATGACAATCCGAACTTGGAAAAACTTGCCAAACAAAGAAGGAGCACGACAATCCACGCTTGGAAACCTTGCCAGAGATGACAATCCAATCTTGGAAAAATTGTCGTTTAAGAAGAATGCGCGACAATCCATATTTGGAAATATTGTCGTTTAAGTGCTTGCTTTTAAACCGATTGTAATGAGCCAGTGTTTTAGGCGCTTAAGCTAAGTGAGACGATCTTTCATCAGGTCGACCACTTATTGTGATTGTAATCAAAATAACTACTTAATCATGTCAAATTGCTTATAGGGGCTAACTGGCGTACCAAGGAACCCAAAATTGTTG